GCTTATATCCTGGCTCTGTGGTTTTATATTTTGGCTTGGTTTCTTCCTTTGGAGGGGAGGAGAGCAGTTAGGACTTATTGGGACCCCACTAATTCAGCAGAATTTGTGATACCTAATCTGGTCTACCCCTGTTTTCAGACGGCCTTAAATTAATCTGATCTACAATGGTAGCATTTTCCTGGACTGCCTGACTGCCAACTCTTGCTGGTGGCCTAAGGAAAGGTTAGAGGTCTCACCATCAGCAAGGTAGATTTTAAGAATGATCTGGCAAAAAGACTTGCAGGGCTCCCCTTGCTACAGACACTCAGAAACCTTGCATTATTTTAGTATTTTTATTATGTTAGCATCTGTTCAGAGAAAAAATCCCTAGAGTTGTTTAGATGGACAACATTTAAACTTGAGCAAGGTGTTGGACTGGGTGACCTGCCAAAGTCCTCCCAGCCCTGTTTATTTGTAATTCTATGAATGCCCTCACCAAAATCAGAGTTCTACTGCACTAAACACTGTAAAAACAATACACTGGACAATTATTATTGACCATTTTCATAAATTAAGTAGCAAAATAGAAGAGGTCATTAACAATGATAATTGATAGGGGTGCACCAATAGAGAATTTTTGGGCTGATACTGATGGCTGATTTTGAATGAGCCATATCGGCCGATACCGATGCAATTGCTGATATGCAGCCTGGCAGTATGGAGAGTGGCGTCTGGCTGGTAAGTCTGTTGGGTGGGAAGGGGCGAGGGGGGATGAAAAGGGTGGGGGGGGGGGGCAGACTGAGGCCCCCATGGTGGGGGAGGGAATGGGGCTGGTGCTGGGGCTAGGGCAGGTGCTGCCCAGCCAAAGCATGGCACAGGATGGAACCACAACTCATCTTGGGGTGCAGAGGGAGGGCAGCTCCTGCACTCACCCCGGGAAGGCATGGAGGAGCATGTGCACCCTGGATCAGTGCATGGGGCAAAGGCAGGCTGCAGTTATGGGCTGGGGCTAGCGCTGGGCTCTTCCTGGCAGGGGGGCGGGCTGGGCTGGGCTGGGCTGGGCTGCACTGAGGGCAGGTAGCAGTAGTGCTGTGGTGGGGGGGCTACAGCAAATTTTGGGGTGGCTGTAGCCCACCCTGTAGCCCTCCTCACCTTCACAGCGCCACCAGCTGCCCCGAGCTCAGCTCAACCCAGCCCAGCATCCCCCGCCACCCCCAGCAACAGCCTGGTGCTGCCCCCAGCCCCAGCCCACAGTGGCAGCCTGCTCTCACTCTGCGCACAGATCCAGGGGGCACATGCCCTCCCAGGGTGTATGCAGCAGCGGGAGCCACGCCCCCTCCCCCCATGGCTCCGTCCCATGCCGCATCCGGGCTGGGCAGTGCCTGCCCCAGCCGCAGTGCCAGCCCCACTCCCTCCCTCACCTTGGGGGCTTTGGCCTGCCCCTGCCCCCATATCCCTTCCCACACAACAGACTTACCGCCGGATGCTGCTCTCCATGCTGCCAGGCTGTGCTCCTGGCCGCCTGTGTGCTACGCTTCAACTGTGCAGGCACGTAGAATTTTATGGCGACATTATCGGCCACATCAGCCAGAAAAAGCCGATTGCTGATAATGTCAATTGTCCTTTTATCAGTGCCAATACGATATGGACCAATGTATCAGTACACCTCTAATAACTGATAAGAGGAGCCATTCTCTGCCTGTAGAGGCACCTGCAATTTTGCTCCCACTTCTGAAGAAAACAAAAGAAAATATCTGAATGTGACATGTCAGAAACTAAGAATCCATTATTTCCCTCCACCAAAATGACTTGCCCAGAGGAAGCTTTTATATATATGAATAAGGTGGCAATTCTTAACCTCCATATCCTTCTACTTCCTAGCATGTGTCACTTCTTCAGAAGAGTAACTGTGCTCTAGTTAGTAAATGCCACAAGCAGATTTGTTCCTAGTGAACTTCATGGGAATTTTCATCTACTTGGATTGGAACAGGGGAGAGAGCTATAATAACAGGATAATAATCTTATGTTTGAATAACACAATCTGCGTCTGCCACCTAGGGGAAGGCATGAAATGAGAAAGAAATATTAAGTGACCTGCTACTTGCTTAGCCAGGTACCAAGAGAAAGTAAATAAAAGTTTCTTTTCTCAGTAAACATCAGTAAACACAACTTGTCTCTATTATTTACTGAGCATAAACTCACATCAGTGTACCTTCACCGTACAAGTATAACCATCACCTCAAAATACCCTACCTCATATATTTTATGTGATATCTCGCTTGCCATTTCACACTTCACAAACTTTACTGCATCCTAAAAGCTACCTGACGCTTGCTGTTCTGCTCCAATTTTATGGCAAGTGTAATACCTGTGGAGTAATGCATTTTCTTTCCTTCAAATTATTATGCTCCAAATATATAATTTTTAAAATATAAACAATTCACTTGACTTTGTGAGAGAACTGAAGAAAATTAACTTATTTTAGCTGCAATTTGTGTGTCTAGTTCATAGGAACTAAACTGAACAGGATTAAAAACAGGGCCAATAGACTACTGTATATATCAAAAATGGGTTTCTAATTACCTTTAAGGGTTACCTGATTACCCAGGAGATGAAATCAAGTTGTCAGAAATAGTTAGACCCTCAAGAAAAGAATAATTTGGGCACTTAGAGCTGTATATGAACTCCTGAGTTAAAATAAAACATTGCGGGAATGTTTCTAAAACTAAGGAAAAAAGTCTTTTATATTTAATGCAGAAGTGGCATAGTTCATCTTGTCCTGCCATTTAAGTTGTTAACATGTTCACTGCACCAATGGTATTTTATTTAAATTTAGGCCCCTGGCAGATGTTACACTTAAGATGTGATTAACCATTAATCAAATCATGTATTAACCTGGCCATATGTTCATGCAATTAATGGCATGATAAAACAGGGAATAAGCACAAAGTTATTACACAAAATTATTTTGTGTAATAACTTTGTGGCTGGTTCCCATCATGCCTTCAACTGAATATGTAGCCAGTGCCGGTTAGCTGACTAGTGCTCCCAGTCACAGGAACACACTGGAGTCTTGCAGGGCTCCCAATATGCTCTTGTGCCTAAGACTGCAGATCACCTGAATAGCATGTCAAGCTACGGGCACATAGGGTACCTAGCTTGATATTTGCTGGTGCAAGGGAAGCCAGGCTTATGATCCCAGGCTCCCCTTGCATCAGCAATAAGGCATAATTGGGATCTAATCCCCAATCTTGCAGTCAGGCTTCTTGCCATACATGTGTAGTATGATAGGAGATGCAATTGTTGAGACTGCAGATCAGATTCCATCGTGCCTTTAACTGAACATCTGTATATGTCCAGAGACAGATATATTGCATCTTTTTTTTTTTCATATAGGGGTGCACCAATAGAGATTTTGGGGGCTGATACTGATAGCCGATATTTAAGGAAGCATTTCGGCCGATATCAATCCGATTTCCGATACAGCTGTGTGCAGCTGGTAAGTCTGTTGTGGTGGAAGGGGAGGGGGAAAAGAAAGGGCATGGGGGGGGAGCAGAACAGTGCTCCCTGCGGTGACGGAGGGAGGGGACAGGGACAGTTGTTGCCCACCTGGGGTGGGATGGGGCGCCGGATAGAGCTGCAGCTCTTTGGGAGGAGTGGGGGGGGGTGCACCCTAGGAGGGCATGGATCTGCGCAGGGCAGGGCAGGACAGGTGGGCTGCAGCTGCAGCCTGTAGCTGGGGCTGCACCAGGCTCTTCTCGGCAGGGGCTGGGCTCAGGGCAGATAGTGGCAGCACTGGGATGGGGGCTACGGAGGGGGCTGCAACCACCCCAAATTTTGCTGTGGCTCTGCTCCCAGTGCTAGCGCCTCTGCCTACCCAGTGCAGACTCAGCTTTTCTTGGCACATGAGGAGAGGCAGGGGTTGAGCCGTGGCTGCGCTGGGTAGGCAGCAGTGGCACTGGGAGTCGGACTATGGCAAAAGTTTAGGTGGCTGCAACCTCTGCTACAACCTACCCAGAGCCCAGCCCCCACCAAGAAGAACCCGGCACAGCCCCAGCTGCAGCCTGCAGCTGCAGCCTGTTTGTCCGGCCCCACCCCATGCAGATCCGGGGTCACCAGCCCTCCCAGGGTGCACGCAGTGGCATGAGCTCATGCGCAGTAGCATGAGCTACCCTCCCCCCCCGAGAACTGTGGTTCTGTCCTGCACCCACCCCACCCTGGCTAGGTAGCGCCTGCCTCTGCCCCTT